GGTATACAGGGTTGTCCTTTCTCTGCAATTCAAAGCCTCAAGTCTATTGCTTTGACGTTTCCGACTCAATCTCAGTCGAAATCATCATTGCAGACACCAAGAGGTGAGAGTGATTGACGCAGAAGGGATGCAACACCCGTGCGATGATCATACGCTTATCATAATTGGATGCTACCGCATTCATCGCCGGTGGTTATACCTGGTGCTATGATAGCTTACTTGCCCGCAGGCGAATCATTACTCGCTGAAATTTCATTCACAATGTTGATTATTGGCGCGAGAATAACTCTCTGACACTATCATTGGAAGCTTTGTTTGCCCGTGCGCTCTCCGCGTTGCTGATTACTCTGCTAATGCGAAGTTGCGGTACAGAATATGGCGGGTGGAGGGGATGGGGGATGACACTGCGCTTGTTGATTGAGTGCGGTTAGGAGAACCAAGGCTCACGTAACTCGTAAATCATGTGCTTAACAATTCTCACGAAAATTTTGGACTCCTCGAACTTGAATCTGTGGCCGGATCCCGTCGAATGAACCGCGACCTGACAGTTGAAGTCGCTCCTCCTCCTCCTCCTCCTCCTCCTCCTCCTCCTCCTCCTCCCCGTTTTTTCATGTTCAGTCCTCCGCCTCTAGAATGGTCTTCCAGTTTCTTTGATATAGTCGCTTTGCCCACAACTGAACCAGATTTTGTAAACGACTTCAGACGTTCCGGGACGTCTGGCACCGCACTACTTGGGACTCTAGTGTCCTTATCGGCGATTGTCTATGGTGACTAGCCAGAGTGGAAATCCAAAACGTAAGGCCAATGAACTTCTTGTTCCAGCGATCACATCTTCTTCTGATCTGCTTCCTGCAATTAGCCTCGTCGTCTCTATCGCAAGGTAGAATGGTCACTTTCAACTTATTTCTCGTTCTTAGTCACTCTGTGTACAGCCCCAAATCCCAAAGACGTGGAAGGGCGGTTGACGGTCTCCGAGAATTTACAACGTACAGGAACGCCCTCCAAAATTAGGGGGCCAGTGTGACTGGGCCTCTAATTTCGTTTGCGAATGCAGGTAGGCATTCGTTACGAGCACAAGTTGTAAGTGGTGTAATTCGGCAATCTGGTTCACTGTAGTGCGTTCACTCACGCTTATATACCGCCCTTGCGTACCTGCGTTTTTGTCTGATTGGGTCATTAATGTTGAGGCTCAGTATTTGCATCGTATTTATTACTTTCGGGAACACTTTATTGTTTAGGCCACCACAATCTTTGCAAAAGACGAGGAAGTCAAGAAAGGCCGACAGTTTGTTTTCTTCCTTCTCCATTACAAATTGTATATCCGGAAAGAGGACGTTGCCATTTTCTTCGAATATAATCTCCTGAGCCCGTTGGATGACGGCGAAGGCATCATTTGTATACTGAGCCCAGAATTTCGGTCGGTTGTACTGGATGACCAACGACTTCCACTATTGCAGGACCGCTTAAGTGATGAGTCCCTGAATCGGCGGTCGACAGCTTGAAGATCTCTAAATAAGAGGGCAGAGAAGGCAAGTATGTGGGTGGTTTTGTAGACTAGATCGCAGTTGGTAGCCAGGCCCCGTATTACAGGTGGCTGGGGTTTGCTTATTGGGCCTTTTAGTGGGGCTACATAATCACATCCGACCCATTTGGCTTCCGTTTTACGTTTGAGGTTAGGATTAAGGTACCGGTTAGCGGTTTCCGATTTTCGGGTTAGGGTTATACCTTTAGACTTAGTTTTTCGGGTTACAGTAAGAGTTTAAGTTTACGATTATGTTTCAATATTACGGTTAGATTTTACAGTTAGGGCTACCTTCTAAAGCCTACGGTTACGTTTACGATTTCGGTTAGGGTTAGGGCTAAAGTTGCCGTTAGGGTTAACGGTTAAGGCTAAGGTTAGGGCTAGGGTTAAGTTTAGGAGTAGGGTTAAGGTCGCCGTCCCCTTCCCCATTCCTGGCTACCAACTGCGATCTAGGCGTTTTTTACTTGGGCCAAGAATGTAAAGGCAGCAACGTAAGCAGCTGCAGCTTACCGGACATGTCAGCCGAAGTGTATGCGCCCGAGATTCCGCCGGCTGCGACCAATCGGTGAAGAGAGACATGTCGACCGGCGTCATGACTTCGCCGGCCGGAGGTTGAGCCACGCGTGTTGAGCGAACCGAAGGCTACATGGGTAAGCGACGAGGCGGATGACCGTGAGAGCGGACAGCTATAAACTCAGTGGCGTGCCTTTCACCTGCTCGTAGACCGCCCCGTCGAGCAGGAAATACGAATTCTGACGGAACTTCAGGAGTTGGGCAATTCAGCTCGTGTGAGGCGATTCTCCGTCTCATTGTGTTCGTTTTGCAGGAGTAACTCAGTGGCCTCCACTGTCAGATCCTGGGGAATAGAAATAAATGTGGACAGAACATCCAGGAGTACCGTGGCCTCGTTAGGCAGAAGACGTAACGCTTTCGGCTTCTGTCCAACAGTTGTGTTGACGAACGGATTTTAATGTCCGACTCAGAGGTGAAAGATTTGAGGCACCTTAGCAACCAATTTGCTATTCAGCAATTTGGAGTGCTTTGGAGGGATATAATGCGTCGGAAGAGAGCGCTCCCCTCTCGATTGCTTCCAGAAACTCGCATTTTGGCTCGCATTGACATAATTTAACAAGTTAAGATGATATGGATTGCCGTACCCTTATTTCCATCGTAATCGTTCATGTCGTTTGCGACATACTCCTGTATTCACATCAAATTGCGTGGGTGCCCGGCCTGCTCGCTTTGTCAGCCCTGGCCAGGTCACCATAGTTACATCCAACGGAGTGACCTCGGCATTCCACTGGCCAATCAACACATCCGCCTGCTTTCATTGGCATTCCGATCGCGTAGAATAAATAGCCTTCGTTTTAGTGCCTCACAGCCTCCTTTTCTTCGCCGACGGACATGTAAGTCTGCATTCTGACGGGACGTCAAATTTTCCTTAGTGAAGTGTGATAGTACTATTTGATGTCTACATGAAAATCCTTTTATTATGAGCACTACAAATAACTGTACACATTTTGTGGTTTCAAACACTTCCATCTAGATTTCACCAGCAAAAACGAATAATTGCAGGATCGTCAGTGCATCGAAAGCGAACAAACATTTAGCAGCCAGTATTGGACAGCTCCATAACTGAAGTTTAGGGACAACACACTTTCCGCAAGGCTCCGGATTAGAAGTGGTTATTTGATTTAAGGATAGTTTTAAGATTCGCGTTTAGTTCTAAGTTCAGGGTTAAATTTCAGGGTCTGGTTTAGCCTACGCTGTCAGTTAGGGCCTTCGGAGTCGTGTTTTTAGGAGTTTATTTGCCTGAACGAACGGAGACCTGCACTGACAATTCATAGGGAGGCGACAACACATGCATCCGGCCCACATCACACAGACTTGACATTATTTTTAACATGAATAGTGCTATCAGGTTTCTGGTCTACTCATCTTCTAGGTGAGCCTTCGTTGAAATGTCTAGATGGCCAGTAGAAGGTCCTTTTATGCGGTAAAGAACTACTCCAGCAAATAAACTTAGCCTGTTTCATGCAGAGTATGTTTTGGTCAGCCTAACATGCAGTGCCACTGAATGACACTGAATGAGACTAGCTGTGTTTCTTAGATGATCAGTTTAAGCGGTTACCAATGACAATGAAAAGGTCTTTCCCCGCCTCAGAAGTATGCACACTGCTCAGACCGCGGAGTAAGTTCTCTGGAGATGTGTATGAGGGCAGAGTCTCACATGCTTCCCCTTGTTGCGTGGGTGTTGCAGGGTTTTCTGCGGTATACTCTGACCGCTAAAAATTAGCATAAACAACCAGCTGCATGTTTTTACGCCGGCGCATTCGAATGGTGACCGTTAGTTCTTTTGAGACACATCGTTTTGGGCCGGTTAAGTGCTATCCAGTGGTGCCTTAACATTATGCGCGCAAAGGATAGGACGCTAACGCGTGACCCACCGGTAAAACTTTTAGCTCAACTGCTCGACTACCAACTATGCTCGGGTCGATTCAGAGATGACGGGACTGCTGCTTTTTCGGGTCTATTTAGTGCACTCTTTAGCACTAGATACCCTCAACTTAGACATTCGGTTGGAATAACCACAGAAACGTGTGCGTACAACGGTTAGGAAAAATAAAAAATAAAGCAAATTATATATAAACATATATATATATATATATGCCTAGTGAGTTTCCCGACAAAGGAGGTTGAAATGGTAATATCTGCCCCATTAGCAGTCATCGGCCAGTCATATATAACCCCAGGTTTGGAACACCTAATATGCATATATATCATGATTGGAACTACAATTGTACGAAAAACGGAAACACTGCAAAAAATCAAGTGGTTGATAAAAGATGCGGTTGAAACCCAATAGTGGCCCATAAAAGAGTGGCATGATACCCCTGAAACATGGTTTTGGTGAAATCTGAAATCACTCCAAAGTTGAACTGTGCTGCTCATCAAGTGGTCTTCCGTTCTTTTCATCGCCAACTCTACTCTTTTTTCCCGTGAAACACTTGTTCTGCGACTGAGGGATGTTTACCAAGAGTTAACTGTTTGGCAAAGCTAATTTCAGGACTTAAAACTGTTGGGCGAAGCTGGTTTTAAGGCCTTAAATATGATATTACAAGACGCGTTTAGCAGCACGTCCTGGGGTAAACGCAGGTTCATGGAAACTCCAGGTAATCTTTACAAATTTTTGAGGCACGAAGAAGGAACCGCAGTGCTTGCCGAAGAGATTAATCTTAATTCCAATGTCTATTTCGCTACGCCTCAGGAAATTATGTAGTTCCGTGTGCCAACTCGAAAAGGTTAGATGAAACCTCAATTTTTCGCTTCGTTAAACTGATTGCTTTGTTTGCCAATTCGTCTACCCATAGTCTCTCTTACCAGCAGTACGATTTCCACATTTTGCAGATAAATGGCAACTGTGAAGCCGGCTGCTAATTTTGATGCCTCGAAGGATGCGGAAGCCCTACGGAAGGCGATGAAAGGCCTAGGTAAGCAACATTAAGCCTATGTATAAGACAGAGCGAGAAATACTGGCTCACATCAAACTTCTATTCAACCGGTGTGATTGTATAAAGGAACATGTTCGTCCCTTTTGCGCTGGATATCTTAGGTTACGAGTGGCTGTGAGCAACAAATAAGTTAAAAATGACCATTCTTATCAGCGATAGAGACGACGATGCTGGTTCTAGTAAGCAGATCAGAAGAAGATGTGATCGCTGGAACAAGAATTTTACTGGCCTGACGTTTCGAATGCCCTTTCTGACTCGCCAGCATAGACAGTCGCCGATAAGGAAAATGGAGCCACAAGTGGTGCGGTATTTATAGGACGCAGTCACCACGCAACCACATACGCACTATAATTACCTACTGCAGTGTGCATCGCTAGGAGTCGTATGCGGTGCGAGAGGTGCCAACAGCCATCAGCCGCCGTCTCACACCGATGGTATTTGGAGTCGCGCACAGGCCAGTAGCAAGTATCAGGCGCCAAATAGCGAGGCCGAACTACCCACCGTCATATCAGGGTACGTCTGGAGTAGTTTACAGAATTTGGTTCAGCTGTGGGCAAAGCGACTGTGTCATGGAAACTGGGAGACCACTCCGGAGGCGGACGACTGAACATGCAAGAACGGAGAGGGAGGAATAGCGTCAATTGTTAGGTCGCGGTTCATTCGACGGGATTCGGCCACAGATTCAAGTTGGACGAGACCGAAATTTCCGTGAGAGGTGACAAGTAAATGAGCCATGAGTTACTTGAGCCTTGGTTCTCCTATCAGCAGTCTAGTAACAAACACAAGGACATTCCAAGCTATTTTAAGTGCTGACAGTTTGCCTGGTTAGAGCAATTAGCCATGAGGAGGTTGCACGGGAGACCAACAATTCCAGTGACGGCGAGCCAGAGTAGTGAGTCGTTATCACGTCCAGAATCTACAACGCCGATGAGGACGTGACCATTAACGACTGGGGTGGTGACTAAAAGGCTATTATCACACCAACTACAGCCCCCACTGATGTACAAGAGAGTAGCTAACTGCAGTAAGCAGGTGGTTGCATGCAGCTGTGTTCAATAAATACTGCACTCCCTGTGCCGCCTCCACCACCTTTATCTGCAATGATGTATCAAAGTGGGAATATAAGGCGTCAGGCCGATAGACGTTTTGCTAAACAATCGTTTTTTCTGATTTCTTATTTCCCTTGTTTAGTCACTATTCCCTCTGATAGTGCATCAGATGCTAAGGGTGAGACCGAATGAGCTAAATTGACGAACGGCGGCCCGCGTGGGAACAGCGAAAACCACCTGCCAGACAATTTTGTTTCCTTTCTCTTTTGTCAAAGATGCTGAGCTCAGAGCCAAGCAGTTTAGAAGTGATGGTTACGAGTTGCCTTAATATATTTGACGGGTAGCTGACGACGGCTGGTACACCAGAAACGACCGCTGCAGTCACCCCGATTTTTTTCAATACTTCTATTAATGCAATTGATGTTGTCGGGGAGGGGTGTCGGCAGTCCTATTGTCCAGTGTGTAGAATTAATATTTAGAGGTTTGCATGTATACGACGAACACCACACTTGTAAGTCAATTTCTATAGCTGCAATTTTGCGTCAAATAGGTTGACTTTATAAAGAGACGAGTGAAAAACAATTTTGTTGGAGTTAACTTATTCTCCTCCAAACAGGCACAGACGAGCAGGCGATCATTGATATTCTGGCCCACCGCAGTGTCAGTCAGAGAAAGGATATCGCAAAAGCCTTCAAGTCTTCGTACGGAGAGGTAAGCGAAAAACCCCAATTTTGTTTTTCTGTCATTCATGTCAGCGAACACGATATTTTTGGAAAAGTGGCCCAAATTGCTTTATCCGGCCAACCTCGGGCTGTCTTACCTGGTACTGCGCGCACATAAAATGCCCAGTTAATTCTCAACTGTCATGCGGACTGATTGGTTGCAATTATTAGTTCATAGAGCGCACGCCTGTTTCCACCTAAGTGACAGAGGTATGTGGGATCAGGTTTGTTGGAACCGGGGACATCAGGGCAGTTTTACGGGTATATCATTGATTTGGCGCTACATACACACATACGGGAAAGACCACTGCGCCACAGATGCAGACAAAAGCTAACGCTATGACGTTAGTGAATGAAAAATTGCCTGACTAAAAATCGCAACCGGTCGTCTAACGATCCTGCTTCTATATCACCGAGACACCGAGTCTTACGATTATCGAAGTAGGCCATAAATGTACCAAATCTTCCGGGAGCTCGGACTGTACCACAATGAGGCAAATATTTAAAAATTTCCAGATTCTTTTCCCCGTCCTATACTCTCGTTTGTAGACGATCACTGGTCTGACCGTAATTCCTTCCGTGGTAAAAATGCGTTTGTCTCCCAGTCTGTGGCTTATTTTGGGATAAAGTGTTCAACGATTAGGATCATGTAATTATTTACCGCACTAACAACACAGGTATTATCTAAAAGCCCAGGCACATGTGGTTTTCCGATCTTGTGCCGCTGCCTGACGCAGCTGCGAGGGTTGGGCTCATCAGCGGGATCATTATTCGGATTGTCAGCTTTATGCTATATTTTTCGCCTCATAAAAATTATAGGATATCTATACCAAGTTACATGGCGAAGTGGGTGGCCGCTTTCGAGATGTTGTGCTGATGTCCTTCCGAGACAAGGCTCACATCAACGCTCTAGCGATCTACAATGCCATCGTGGGAGCCGGCACCAAGGATCGTGTTGTTGTGCAGACCATCTGCGCATGTGACAACAAGGAAATTGACGAACTGAAGAAGGCCTACGAAGACAGTAAGTCGAGATTTGCACATGCACCCATTGAAATTTATCCTAATTTACCAGAAAAGTTTGAGTCAAATGGTTGGGGATGTTGTGTTCTTGCCATTGCTGTGCTCTTTGAAGCAGGCATCAAAACACTCATTTAGGCCTTCGAAGGAACGTAATTATGAGACAACTGATAGCACAAAATGAAGATCGGGACTATTTCCTTAGTGTGCTGTTAACTGAATCCAGAGTTCAGGTCGGTGACCTGACATCTGCCCAAAGGACGGGGTTCATAGTTAGCAGTAATAAATTTGACTTCAGTCAACCGTGCATACTGAGTACTGTAGTTTTCTTATGAGGTCTGTAATCAGCAAAATAGTGGCGCCCTATCCTCTACGCAACAAAAGACTCCTTTAGAAGACTTGGTGCTGCCGGTGGGATCTCGACCCGGGTACAGCAGTGAAGACTGTCTCTTCTGCTTGACAACACACTGACGGCGACATAAAATTTAGCTGAGTATTTGCTATTAGATTTCAGTCGATCTTTTATAGGTTTTTAGGCATTTGTTAACCCCATAAGCTTCTAACCTGCTGCTGCCGCATGCATTTTAACGATTTTGTCGAAAAACGCAAATGCCATAAAGCAGCACTTATTTCCTCTGTTTTTCACTTTCAGTTCTGAAGGAGAAACAAGAGGATCGTAAGTTTACATTTTAAATTGCTTTTACTATTGTTTTTTCTTTGGAAAAATGTACTGTGGACCGTTGACGCGAAGGCACACTCGTTTAGAGACGGATACGCAGATGAGGATGCGGTAGATCTTTGCAATTGCGCAGTAACCGCGTGGGTATTTGGTAAGCTGAGCGTTCCCGAATCATCGATTGCCGAGCGCTGGACGTGGATGCTTTGTAGCCCGTGTCTTCATCACCAGTGTTTGTGTTCGGCAAGACAGTGGTTTCATTGATGTTTTGGCAGATTTTGAATAATTCATATTGACCCAACTGTGAAAAACTCGGCGCCTCGGTGGGATTCGAACCCACGCAGTAAAGGGAAGGCTTTAGCGCAGCCAACGCTCTAACCACCTGAGCTACGAGGCCCCGCCGGACGACGCGAGTTTAATCACATTTTGGTCGCCGGCGGGGCCTTGTAGCTCAGGTGGTTAGAGCGTTGGCTGCGCTAAAGCCTTCCCCTTACTGCGTGGGTTCGAATCCCACCGAGGAGCCGAGTTTTTCACAGTTGGGTCAATATGAGATAGTGATTTGTCAGTAAAACACCTCAGTACCATCTATCGGATCGCTGTTAAGCCTAAAGCTGTATAAGCTGGAGAATGGCATCAGACCAATGACCCTGTTTCAGTTGGTGCAACCGTCTGGCATGTATTAAATATGCACATCATGTGGTCTGAGTGTAATATGTCAGTGTGCTAGCATTGTTGAGAGTTTGGTAGCGCAGTTTTTTATAAAAAAAAGCAAATCAGCACTTGGTTTTGGTAACCCTCCTTGCACTCGAACTTTGATCTGTGCTACCAGCTGTCTACCGGCGGAGCAGCACCTTGACTCTGCAGGCACCGGCTACAGCACTGCCATAAAAGGCGGATTTCACTAAACATCAGTCCGCCAATAAGCTCATCCACTCAGTTTGCAGACATATCACAGTTCCTCATCATTGCTTTTTAATTTCTTCAGAAATTAACTGCGATCTTGAAGTATATCAGTATATTCTGGGTCTATAGACTCGGATCGAAATTTTTATGTGTAGATATTTGAGCCGAAGTCCATCAGCCATAGCGAGATAACCACAGGCAGCTAGTAGTATAATTTTGGGTAAGGGTATACCATACTAACTGCACAGGTATTAGCCAAAAGCCCATACCCAATTTTTTGCAAACATTCTGTCAGTATGGTAACCCCTTACCCCAAAGTATATAACTAACTGCCTGTCGGCAGTTAATGAATATAAAGTAGTTATCCCGCTATGGCTGATGGACTTCGGCTCAAATATCTACACATAAAAATTTCGGTTTTCGCCCATAGACCTAGAATATACTGATCTACTCCAAGATTGCAGTTAATTTCTGAGGAAATTAGAAAGCGAAAATTTCTAAATTGGAGGATCTACCAGAAATCAGACGGAGAATGCTGGAGGACCCACTGATGAGCCGAAACCGTCACAGCTGTGTCATGCAGCGGCAGAATCTCGGTGAAACACGCGTGTATGGGCTTTTGGCTAGTAACTGTGCTACTAGAATGGCATCCTGTAACATTAGTACTAGGGTTAAGGCCTGGGTTAAGGTTAGGACACGGGGATAGGTACCCTTCCTTATCATGAAGCTTCTCACCCTTCAGCTTTCTCCCTCCATCATAGAGTCTTAGCATGCCTAGGCAGTCTCCCGAAAGGTCAACCACGCTCGCAAGTGTCATCCACTGATCAGGCCTCATTACTGGATGGATCCCAGTATAAAATCATTTCCCAGAGTACCGGTTTAGAACGTAAAACTTCATCGTCCCAGTCTCCCGCTGCCTTTGTCGGCAAATAGTTCAATCGCATGCCATCCATTTCATCCCTACTCTCGGACTCGCTGTTCAGCAGATGGTTGCATTACTTTGCAGCTCTGAAACGAAACCTGGAGAAGGATGTGGAAGGGGACACGTCAGGGGACTACAAACGAGTCCTAATCGCACTTCTTCAAGGTCAGCGCGAAGAGAAAACAGCCAAAGCAAATGTGGTCACTGACTGCGAGGCTCTCTACACCGCCGGCGAGGGGTAAGTTGTCCGTAGTCTGAACACTGGTACTCGAGACTACCGAATTCGCCCCTTTGCGCAGGCGGTCGTATTACATGTTTACACTCAGCCTTTGTATGTGTATGTCTTCGCCTTTTTAGAAAAGTGGGAACTGACGAGTCGGTGTTTGTGCGAATCCTGGCCAACAGGAGCCATGCCCATATTCGCGAAATGAACAAAGTTTACGCGGCCGTGAGTTGAATAACTATTGTACATGGTTATTTGTGTTGCCTACGCCATGAGATATAGTATTTATGGTCACCACAATCAAAAACAGTGGGGAAACATCATTGAAAAATTGCGTTACGTTTTTTCATAACTTGTTTTTTCGTCCCTATAAGAAATTTCGATCATGCCAAGTTGATAGACCTGTCAAGTTTCCTGTATCCTGAAGTTAGCTCAAATTGATTATCATAGCTTGTAGCAATCAGAATTCTGAAACGCAGTGTCAAGAGCTTTAAAGCCCACTTTAACTCGGAGATACTGGATTCTATACAAATCACAAAACGTTTTCCGCCGACATGGCTAGTTGGTTTCCACTGGCAAGCCGTGAACGAATATTCTTTCCCGTATAATCCCGTAGTAACAGCTATAAACATTACCTTCAGGCTAAGGGACACGATCTGATTAAGGCGATTCAAAAGGAAACCTCGGGCAACTTTAAGGACGCTCTCGAGATCATCGGTAAGTCCAGGAAAATCTTCTGTTGTTTTTTGTAATAGACCGAGTGGATATAGCTGGAGGGCAGTCGGTCGATCACGGAAATAGTTGCCCCTCAGTGTTACCGGTCGCCTTGCAATAAATTACAGAGGTCTATGGTCCCTTGTCCGACTGGATAGTTTTATTGATTATCGACCACACGAGAAAACAACACTGCCACGTTTTTGTCAAGAAGGAAACACGATCGCTGGAACAAGAGCTTTATTAGCCTGACGTTTCGGATTATCACTAGGATCTGTCATCAGAGGCTGAGTCAGGTAAGGGTAGTGGGAGCTACCAACTGTGATAGGTATGTAGCGGCCTAGCGACTACATCCTATGAATACTGCAACACTAGAGAAATCCACTGCACTTATCTGACTTTGTCTCTGATGATGGATTTGGGTGAGAATCGGAAACCTCAGACTAATAAAGTTCTAGATCTTCGCGACTGTTTCCTGGAACTCGCCTCTTCGCTGCTATTGGCAAACTGTCACGTTTTGCTCGCGTTTGATCCTCCAACTAGGCGATAAAAATCTAAAGTTTTTGAGATTGCAGTCATTCCCAAGCAGGGTCATTTATGTTCATGCTTTGGGGGTCTCGTCCTCAGTTGCTGCCTAAACACTCTGCCACTAAACCACGGGCCCGATTACAACCAGTGGAACAACAAACCCCGAGATTTTAGTGCTCCAGCGTTTTACTTAGTATTGGCCGGCTGATGAGTTGAGGTTTAGGCCTCGGACGTTCCACATCTGGGGTTGAAATGTAACTAGCTGGCGGCCTGCGAGGATCGGGATTTAAACTTCAAAGTAAGACGGAAGGGGCGTGTTTCGTACTGAAGTCAGGTCAAAGACATGTCGATCATAAACTAAGATAATTTATCAGTCATCATCTATACGTTCCTTTATGTGCTTAACGGGATATAACATTTAGGGAAGAATTGCGTACTTTCACATAACGAATGCAGCTGCAGCTCATATTCGGAAGAAAGCATAGTATTTCCTCAGAAAGAATAAGGGTGTTGGAAGCCGCACCTAAGTTGGTGTGCCATAGAGGCCATATTGAGAAAGGCCACCGAGTCTGACTATCAGTCATGAGAAGGAGCAAGTCATTCCATCAGCTGGCAGCCTTCCAAGCCATGAATACTGGCGCACGATGATGGTTTAAGAACGCGTCGTGCTGTTTATAGTGAGGAGTATGCGCTTAGTGGCTGGGGACGGAATCCCCAGAGTGTCTTCGCTCTCCTATGCACGAGTAGACTGCCAGCGCTTGTCGGCCAGCTGGCGTAGGAATTGGACGGAAATACGACAGCCTGGTCACCAAGTCATGCACTAAGATGCATTAAAGAATATGCTTCCCGCTTACGTGTGAGGTACAGGTTATGGAGTGCAAAGATCCGCTCGGATCTCCCATAAGTAAGGGTGCATAGACTGTAAGACCTACGACCTTGAATTTATATGAGACAGGGAGAGCTAACGAAGGTAACACAGACTTCCTAAGCAGTAATGTTTTTTTAGGAAAACCGAAAATATCTGGGAAATACGTACAATGATGTCCACTATTTGAAACTAATTTCCAACGGTAGAGCACAAGGTTGGTCTCAGAAAGCGAAAAAATTCATCGAAATAAGCGCAAGTAATTGGAAAAAGTCTGTTTTTTTTATAAACCATGGATTGACTTTCCTGTATTAACAGGTAAGACATGCAACCTGATAGGCAATCGCATGACTGATGTTGAGCATGGATTTTTCAAATAAAATACAGTTCGGACTTAGTAAAAAGTGGTTCTTTTGCATTTCTCGAGGTGCTGCCGCCCAGAACGAGAATGATTTTATTTGATTTTTGTTTGGGATCGAAGACTTGTAGGAATAAAAGTGTTTAGAGCTTGATCACTAACCAAAGACTCGATTATACCATTAAGCGCACGCATGAGTGTGCCATTTTCTGCCTGTGAACTCTGAGTGCACGCAATTCCATTTTCGGCGGTGATGGGGGTCGCTACGTGCCAGGGTGACCTTGCGATGTCAGTGAACGCTGTTGTGTCTGGTGTTTTCAGCCTTGCACAAGGAGGGACGCTGTCCATGTTCAGTGGGTGCCAACAAATCTTTAAGATATTTACCGAATTTGTTTGGCCTTATGGAAACTGTTTCCCGAATTCGACTGTTTGGTCCCTATTTCTGGGGGATCATTCAAAACAGATTCTCTTTGCCGAAGAGAACCGGCTTTCCGCAACGGGGCCAAATGATAAATTCGCAGTTAATCGAATTACAGCCTTGCCGTCACAAGTACTGCCCGATCTATTAATTCAATTAATCAGTTATGCAACAACGTCAACAGCCGTGACGACAGTTCTGTCGCGCCAGGTGCCAACTTTCTAGCGCTGGAGTGACCTGCGGATGAGAAGCTTGAGGAACACAAGACAAATGTTAGTACCCCGTGTAAGCCAGTCACATGCGGCAACTTCTCTTCACTTGGTCTTCTTGGCCCGACCTCAACAAACATCCAGCGGGCGCGGTATCTTATGGCAACACTTTCGGTATGCACACCATCTAACTCGTGATCTGTGGTAGAGTTACGCCTGGGCATGGAGCTATCTATTTTCCCCTTAACATCCGAAGGTTTCCTGCGGACATATAGTCCCTATTCCTGATTCATTTACGCCTACGTTATATTTCATGAGCAAAGCTGTGGCGGGGAACAGGAATCCGAGTTTGGGGGTTTAGAATAACCAAACTTCTGAAGATTAAATGACATTTCCCGTAGATTGCGAAGTGATTTTTTGAAATCAGTTTTTCCACCCAACTTTTTAGTGCACACTGCGCTAAACAAAGCTGAATGTGTGGCTGACATGCTTCTTGGAAGCATGAAAGGCTTGGGGACAAATGACGATGATCTCATCCGTCTGGTCTTGGCGTACTCTGAGGTAAGCAAATTTGATCTGTCTGGGCGGTGATGTCACAAGTAATGCTTAATCAGCAGGGTCTACCTAGACTCGGGAATTGATTTGGAATGAAACCGTGTCTCCAAAGGGTCTTTAGTTGTATCGTATGGGAAAGGAGTCCCCGTACTTTAGGTCCAAAACCAGTCTACTATCATGAATTGTGTGAGAACTCACCTATAAGGCCCCTGAACCTGGCTCATGTGAAGATGAAACCATAGGAAGTGTTTTTTTAATGAAGTTTCCTAACCGAAGGGTTCGAAGCTGTAAATTACGTACGGCGGCTCAAAAGTTATTGCTGTAGAAGTCCGATTCGTGACTGTTTTCGACAAACCGCTGATCCAGTTCGTAGTACTGGACGAATTAACTCACAACCGAGTTTAGAAGTTTGATAAACGTCCCCGTGGATGCCATGACACGGTTTAAATGAACATAGAAGATTTGGCTTTTTGAGCCACTCCTTATTCCATCAGCGCTTCTGGGTAAGTCGAATGAGACTGAACAACACTACAAGACAGTGCACTTATTGAAAAAAATATGTGACAAGTCTTCGATTATATCATTAATTCTTGCAGGGGTTATTTCTTGATGGTTAAACATTTGGAAGGCAGAAGAAATTGCAGTACCGTCTAATGAAGAATAATGACATTTAAGTTTGCACAACGGTAGCTGGTTAAGGGCGCCTGTAACCTGAATTGATTAGTAATTCAACTGGCACCGCAATTAATCAACATGTACCCGCGCACGCAATCGGGCACTATTTCGTTTGGACGTTGCACATGCAATGCTTGCCTAAAAGATAATTAATTATGCCCTTTGTGTTTAGGATAACCTTGCAGAAGTCAAGAAGGTCTTCGCCGCGAAAAATGGCAAGTCACTGGCTGATTACATACGTGGTGAGACGTCTGGCGACTATAAGAAATTCTTGCTCGCCATTGTGGGGGAGTAAACGGGCAGTGGACAATCGTGCAAAACAGGAAGAAGCGTTTACTTCTCGTCTTTTTCTGTTTCTTCTCGCAAAAATTCTACAAATATTCACATTAAAGATAAGTTATTCTAGTAGTCTTGCCTCCTGTTATGTATCGGCCGTAAAATTCCCAGTTACACCGGAGAAGAGTTCTTGCCGCCTCGATCTCTAACTGCAACAGGTACACATCCCTTGATGTTGCACTATCTCAGAACGATATCGCGGGGACAGGAGCCGAAACCGAGCTTGCAAGTGGGACACATAAAATGGGACGACTGCACAGTCGTCTCTACACAGCCCTCGTTACCGACGATGCCAACCGTGAGACAGTAACTTGCGCAGAATCTACCGCACTCCCTCCTCCCCTGCTCACGCGAACCCGACGTTAACAAATAGTCATGAAGACCGGAGGGGGGGGGGGGCGGAATCGGGCGAGGTGGCTGGCAAGGCTCAGCAGCCCGTCTGTACGTACTACACACGTGTTTTTTTTACCACAAACAGGCGACCCGGGTCCTAATTGGTTGAGAGTGCCGTATGGGCCACAATGAGAAGGAGTCATTGCAACCTGACTCTCCGTCCTGAAAGGATGACCGAGTTATCCTGTCAGGTGGCAGCTTTCAGAGCCGCTTCTTTTAACCAAGAATGAAAGGCCTCTGATTGTTTGTAATGCGGAATGTGCGTCGAGTAGCGTGGGGACGGAGTCCCGACAGGCAAAATCATTCACTCTTCCCTCTGCCAGGCACTAGTCTGCTGTCGGAGCCAATTAATCACCTGATGACAGAATTGAACACGGAAGGCTGCCGTGGCATGGGCGTGCGTCTAGGCGTGCCACCACGCTCGCACGTGTGGCAGTTGTTATGCGGGCATAGCTCAAACCACGCGTGTCGTACCCTGATTCAGCCCCGTGTTGGCCCAGCACAAATATCGCATGACCCACTGTAGGAGGCACAACTCTACCATTTACACAACCTTCGAATAGGCATAGTTCGAATGAAATTTGTCACTAATGAGCGCTGACGTCGAGCTCGCAGACACGTGCAAGCACATCCCATTTGCAAATAGAGGCCGCCATCGACACCTGTAGACTCCTGTTCTTTGATGGCTTTCACGTGAAAGCGAATTCAATTAGATTATTTCGGACCGACTTCGGGACAGGAAAAATTGATGGTCGTGGATGTCCGCTCGAAGTAGCTCAAGGCTTTTCTCACCCGAAAGTTTTGGTCTTCATTACTACCATAGGTTAATTACAATACTTACAGTTTGTAATGCATTGTGGCCCTGCAGAATTCAACGTATAGTTTGTCAGTGGAAATGAAGACTGTTTGACCTCCCATCAGGTCTGAATATTCAACAGTAAGACGTCAGTCTGCGCCCGCCTTGCTCGTGAAGAACTCTGGCTACCAGCCTTTGGCGACTGAGAAGGGACAGCTTGCCGAGTAGTTATAGGGGTGCTGACAAAGACAAGGAAGGCCGAAGTGGCCATTTCCGCTTTATTGGCCGTCATCAGCCAGCCATACCCAGCCTCAGTTGTGGACCAACTGGAATTCGAACCAGAGATCGTTGGTCATTGAGTCTAATGCTCTACAATGGAGCCAGAGACTCATTGATTATCGAGTCATTCAGTAGCACTGTGGTCACGTGCGCACTCGTGCAGGTGGATGGAATGAAATTACGCAATAACCAATCAGAAAACGGGCAGCCGAAAGCCACATCCGATGTCCTTGAAGAGCTGCAGACGGAGTGATCCCATTGAAGGCGATATTGCGGGGTGTACATTCCGCTAAAATCATCATAGTGGGGAGAATCCACTTCCTGTTTTCCGTACCGCTTTCCACGCAGAATAATTTTTAGAAGAGGACGACTGAGCGAATGACGTGCATAGCTTGCTCCCCTTCCCACCTGGCCCTGACGCGAACCTTTCCAATAGGAGACATGTCGCTCGCCGCGTGCGCGCACACCTATTCACGGGCACCCTCAGTACACGATGCACACACCGGGAAGACGAAGCCTGTCCATTCGACTAACGCAGACTACCCGATGTCGGCTAGTAAATTAGTCATCAGTGAAGTCCGGCGGCAACATGTGTAGGCTCTCAGGTCTGACGAATAAACGCTCGCCGCGCATCCGATATTAATGCCTTCAGACGTGACTGGGCGCTGAGGCACTAAACCAATGGCCTATAACAATGTCACAGGCGAAAGGTCGCAGACGGTTTTGCAGCATTTTGAATGTTGTTCGAGATCTAATGACAGTGCGACCGCCGCGATGGCCACCGTGTGTTCCACAGCAGAATGGGCGCAGACCCGGTGGCATGCGTGTGGATTAGTTTATGGCGGTACTAGAGTTGCGCACCATCTACTGCACTCTGTCCTCCTCCTCCTCCTCCTCCTCCT